ATATATATATATATATATATATATATATATATATATGAGAGAGAGAAAGAGGACCTGGCCCTTTGTTTTTCATAACCAACATAGCAATTTAGATCAAATAATTTCATGTAATTGGGGACTATTTCACTCTAGGATTTTAAATGCCATTTTACAAAATTATGGTTCCAATATATAGCAACAACACATTACTATAATGGGGTCAACTTTTTGTAAGAGACACAACTTTATTTTCTTTTCTCTTATAGGAAGTTTGAAAACTTTTACATAGGCTGGGGTCATAAGTACAGTGTGGAAAATTACACACCCCCAGGCCCACCACCAGTTTTTCAAGAATATCCCAGTGGACCAGAAATTACAGAAATGGATGATCCCAATGTGGAGGAGGAACAGGCTTTCAGGTTGACACAAGAGACAGCTGCACTTTCAGCTGAGGAGAACAAAGAAACTGAAGATGAAGATGAGGATGATGACGATTAGTACAAAACTAGTCCTTTTATGACACTAACACACACAAATCTTTTATGGGGGACTGATTATATATATGTATATGTATAATGAAAATGATGGTGCAAATATTCCTTTAAAGTTACCAAGTGTGTGTTGGGGGGGAAGAGTGTGGGGGGGTGATAAACAGAAGTCTCAGTGCTTATAAAAAATTTTGTTGTTTCTGAGGACAGGAATTCAATTGCTAGGACCTATGTCAGGGGGCTCACCATCACCTGCAACTCCAAGTCTAGGAAATCTAACGCCCTCTTCTGACCTCCACAGGCTTTGTACATGTGCATGTGTGCTAACCCAAGTAAATATTCAAAAAAGATTTTAAAAGCTAGATGTGGTGAAACAAACTTTTAATCCCAACACTTGGGAGGCAGAAGAAGGAAGATTTCTGAGTCTAAAGTCAGCATGGTCTAGATAGCAAGCTCCAGGGAAGCTAGAACTGCTAGAATTTACAGAAAGTTGCCAGTGGATTTACCAGAAGCTCATGATATGATCAAATCTGATCACATCACCATTTTAATGACTACAGCTTATGTAATTAATACTTACATAATCTTGCTTTGAAAAGATCTCACTTTCTTATTTTTCTCCTTGACATGGTCTCACTATATAGCTCTGGCTGTCCTGGAACTCACTACGCAGACCAGGTTGGCCACAAAATCTCAGAGATCTGACTGCCTCTGCCTCTCAAGTGCTAGGATTGAAGGTGTGAATGTTCAAAGTTAATTTCTAACATGGCAAGTATTGCTATAATTCACAATGCTTCTTGGAAACTTCCAGTTTTTGAGTGTCAAATTTGAATGCAAAACTTTGATAACCTGAACTTGAAAGATGGTTCAATGGTTACCAGTACTTGTTACTATTGCAAAGGGTTCAATTCCCAGCATCCATATGATAGCTTGAAATCATCAGTTCTAAGGGATCCAACTTCTCTTTCTGGCATCCATGTGGAACACACACACATAAACACTCACACACAATGTATAGATACACATATATGGCAAAATACACATACACATAAAATAAATACAAAAAACAAACCTCTGATAACCTAAAGCATTTATTTTATCCTGTCAAAACTAGATGTAGATGTATTAAATCTGTAGTTGCTTGTGATGAAGCCAATGATACTGTGTATAAATATTGTGCATGTGCATTCATTCTCTTTCCTGGGTGCGTGTTCACAATTCTATAAGTGAAGTAAAATCTGTAAGGGCATTTAAATATTTAGAGTTTTGGTTTTCCCCAATGTATCCATCAAACTCCTTCTTCATCCTAAATTAGATGATGGAAATGAATTACAGAGAGATTGGGAGATAGTAGTATCCAGACACTTTAGATTTACATTCTCTATCACTTTAAAAACATTTATTCACTAAGTAGGCATTTAAAACAATTTTATTACTTTATGTGTATGAGTGTTTTGCCTGCATGCATGTAAGTGTACCACACGCATGCATGAATCGTACTAAGATCAGAAGAGGGTGTTGGGTTCCCTGGAACTAGAGTTACAGATTGTTGTGAACCACCAAGTGGGTGCTGGGAATTGAATCCAGGTCTTTTTGCAAGAGCAAGAAGTGTTCTAACTCACTGAGCCAACACTTCATCCCTGACATCTTAAAATCTACAGGTATTAGACATCATGAGATTATAAATAAAACCTGGGCACAGCTCCTGAATGTTGCTTTTATTAAAGAGGAAATATGAAATTAAAGAGACTACAATTTGGCAAATACTGTGATACAACAAATTCAGGGTTCCACAGATCAGCACTTCTGAAACTCTAAAGGGTCGATTAAAAACAATTCAATAGGGTGGAGAACTGGGCCAGAGTAAGAGCACTTATCACTCTTGCAGAGGTGAGAGTTCAGATCCCAGAATTCATATTAGGCAGATTCAACTACCTGTAACTCCAGCTCCTGCAGATTTGATAACTCTTTAACTTCCACAGGCTCTACATGCAAATGCACACATACTCCACAAATAAAAATAAATCTTTAAAAAATAATGATTCAATTTTGTAACTTTTAGAAAACAATCATAGCAATTCACAATTTTCTATTTACCTTGTCATAGAATGGAACTTTGTAGATCATTGGTCTACATTACTAACACTGAGGTAATTAGGTGTGTCTGGCCCATACTTAAGAGCCATATGGACTGCTATGGAGGAAGGGCTCCCAGCAGCAAGAGATGCATTTTGGTAAGAGACACAACTTCCAGTAAAAGGTGTGGTGTTAATTGAACCTATAGAGGCAAGGAGAGACTGAATAGTGTAGGAAGGCAATGCCTCAGGGGTGAGGGGATGAAGAAAAGACCACAAACACAGAAAAGCTGGGATCAGGAAGTCTGGGCTCTCTGATAAACACCTCAGCAACCCGGATGCTCAGTGTCTTTAATGTAAACAGATGAACAGGAAGGCAGGTTTTTGCACAGAACCAGAGAAGGCAGGGTTATTATATACACCTGAACAAGAAGGCAGGTTTGACTAATCTTAGTCTGCAGAGAAGTCTCTAAAGGGTAGCAGTCTTGAGACCATAAACATGGGGTGGGAGGTGAGAAAGCTACAGTGATATTTTCAGCACTGTCAAGATTCTGAGCCTAGGAAGGCTTTGCCATGGTCTTTGAACTTCATCGAAGTTCTGCCATTCCAGTGGGGCTAAAGCACTGATCCTTGATACACCACGCCCATATAAACAATACACATCCACTTAAGAATTCATTGGCTTTCCTACAGGCTGGATTTTACAAACCACCCAAAAAAAAGTAGTAAACCAGGTCATATAAATACATGTAAAGGTTAGAACATTTTAGCTTTAATGTTAAGGGCAAATTATAGAGAATTAAGACTGAGATACTCATTGGGAGGTTGTTTGATAATCTAGGTGATGGAAACACAACTAAACAGTAATATAAAAGAGAAATTGGTTGTCACCAGGACAGGTGGAAAGGGACCTCCCAGTGTTAAGTTTTTGGTTTTAGTGTACAAAGTTCAGTCTTTGCTGGATAACTGAACTTCATGTAACTTCAAGCAGGTGCTTGCTCTTTTTGTAAACATCTTTTTAAATTGTTTAATATCCATTTCCTCTCATTTCCTTCTGAGGACTTCTGTGCCAATCGGATTGTACTTTCTTTGTAAACTGCAATATGAGCATTCTGCAACTTCTACCTTGGTTGTTCTTGCTATAATTGACACAAAATTGTAGCCTCTAATTGACTTGGTTCCAATCCATGTAAAGTAAATTATAGTCCTTTTATCTTCACAATAAATAACATGGAGACTTGATATTTTTATTAAAAGCTCCATGCACTAAGCTGGGCAAGTTCTGAGCTATTGCAACCCAACTATATTAGCCTGGCCTACTTCCCAGTCATGTGCCCCATTACTTACCATTTTAGTCTTGCCCTGGCTGCTCCTGGCCATCAGTGTCCTCATGGTGAAGCTCTATCTGCCACCTGAGCATCTTTCTTTCTCTGAATACAGGAATTCCACCTTCTCCTCTCCTGTTCAGCTAATAGTCTGATCACTTTTTATTGAGCAATCAGAAGATGACAGAGAACAATGTTTTACAAAATACTAAATCAGGAAATGCTTCATAATAATAATAATAACAAAATCCAGACTGTACCCAGATCTCTGAGTACTGAAATCAGCATTTAAATACACATAAAAACATTCCCCAATAAACTCACTTCTCTTCATTACCCACAGACTCTGAGTTTCTAAGAGTCTTTCAATAATAATTCTTTTGATCATGGGGTAGAGTGAGATTCTTTCCTATATGCATATAAGGGATATCAGACCATAATCTATCACTCCTTTCCTACAAGACAAATTAAACCAGAAGAGATGTAAGGTAGTGGACATATTTAACAAGAGAGCCCTTGAATTTAGAGTTTATTATGTATTAAAGTGATTACTAACAAAAGAGAAGGGAATCTAATAACACAGATAATAGAAGTGTCCCCTGAAACAGCTTATGTGTTCAAAGTTTGAACTTAACTGGTAGACCCAGTTACTGAGTTGACTGTACCTAGTCAGTGGATTAGACACTGGATGGATTGATTTATCTGATGTCCCTACTGGAGAGAACCACTTGAGGAAGTAGGTCACTGTGGGTGTGCTCCTGAGGGAGCTTGTCCCTGGCCCCTTCTTGCCTCTCTCTGTTTTGTGGCCACAGTGAGTAAGTAGTTCTGCTCCAGCACCACTACTGCCTAGAGCCATGATATTCTGTCTCACCAGAGTGAGCCTACCAAGCACTGAAACTTCGAAGCAAATTAAACCTTTCCTCCTTGAAACTGGCTCTTTTGTACCTGTCACAGCAATAAAACTCTGGTTAACAAAACAGTGGAAGATACAGTGAGACAGCTGTGGACTCCATCTTGGAGAATATATTCTTAGAAAAATCACTAATCCAGTATAGTTGGGTTAGAATAGCTCAGAACCTGCCCAGCTTAGTGCCTAAAGCTTTTAATAAAAATACCAAGTCTCCATTACTAATTCTCTAGCCAGTGATGGTGCTGGAGCAGAGCTACTTACTCACTATGGACACAAAGCAGAGAGAGAAGCAGGAAGGGTTAGGGACAAGCTCCCTCAGGAGCACACCCACAGTGACCTACTTCCTCAAGATTCAGCTTCCTCATGGGGCTAATCTTGCCTCAAACAATCATTTTAAAATAAACATATTAATAGACATTAACTACTAAGAGTAGCTCACATAAGTAACTCATATTAACTTATCACGATAAAACAAGTTTCTGAGACATGGACAAAGAAACCAAAACCAACAATTCAAACAAGGGATTTTATTCAACTAATTACTAGACAATGAAATGCTAAGTAGTATAACTTAACAGGCACTTATAACTTAAATAATATACCAAGGACTTAAGCAAAATCAAATTCTTCAACAGTATCAGAGTTCAATATCAGAAAAAAAAAAGGATAATAACAAAATCACGAAAATATTTGGGTCAAGGAATCTTCTCCGCTGTAAACACTTGAGAAGCTTGTTTCCTGGCCTTGAAAAAGAACAGAGAAGACAAATTATAATCTAGAAATTAACTAATTATTCTATATTATCACTTTACAACATTTAATATCATTTACTGTTCTCTCTCTCTCTCTCTCTCCCCCCTCTGTGTGTGTGTGTGTGTGTGTGTGTTTATGGGTACACATATGCCATAACACATGCATGGAGCTCAGAGCACAACTGTGGAAGTCAGTTCTCTTTATACTGTGTAGATACTAATGATCAAGTTTGTCAGGCTTGGTAAAGTACCTTTGACTGCTGAGCCATCTTGTTAACCCTATATCTCATTATTTTAACGTGGAAAATAAAACTCAGATTTTTTTCCAATATAGCAATGAATATTCCTAGTGAAAATTATGACCTAAAACTTAAAAACAATAGTAAAATATATTTTAAAAGTTGAGTCATAAAGAAAATTCTAGATAAAGACAGAAAAGAATGAAACAAAATATTATGTGTCAATGAACTATGTCAAATGTAAAAATGCTGGCTCACAAAGAAATAAAGATGTGGAGAGGGAGCAAGACACACCAGGAACCAAAGAAGCAGCTAAAAGAAAGACAAAGAACCTTTTTGAAAACTTGGGTACCTCATTAGTATTCTAAATATGTCCCTTAAAAATCCTTTAATCCTACCATTTGGGAGGCAGGGGCAGATGGATCTCTGTGAGTTCAAGGCCAGCCTGATCTACACAGTGAGTTCCAGGTAGCCAGAGCTACAGAGTGAGACCCTGCCTCCAACCAATCAATCAATCAATCAATCAATAACATCCTTATTTATTATGAGTCTGTAGTTCAGCTGCCCCCTTCCCTGGCTGAGGAGCTACTGACAGTTGGCTTTGGGGTGAGAGAAAGTCCGTTTTCTTTAAGGATGTGGCTCCTGGTAGATTGACCATGTTCCAGTGGCTGGCTGGTGTCACACCCAGGAGTATATGAATGGCACACACTGGACTCAATGGGTTATAAGAAAAAGAAAAAAGGACATGATTAGGGTATGGTGAGAGTTGATGTGGGAGGAGTTAGGGGACTAGAAGTAAAAATACATGGTCAAAATATATTGTATACATATATAAAACTCTCACGGAGTTAACAAAATACTTTTTATAAAGAAAATTTTTACTGTTTGTTATTTCCAAAGTTTGGTTTACAAACTAAAGCATATTAAACTCTGCTAAACTAAACAAATTTAGGTTGAGTCAAGTTCAAAGTACTGGGATAACACATGGAAAAACTAAGAATGCAGTGAGGTAAACTAACAACCATTATCAAAGTGTGAAAAGGAGCTGGGCTTCGTATTACATACCAATAATCTAGTACTTGGGGACTGAGGCAAGAGAAAGAGGAGTTCACAGCTAACTTTGGCTACACACTTCAAAACCAGCCTGGGCCACATGAGACCATGTCTCAAAAGTTTAAAAAAAAAATAGAAAAGTAAAAATAGGGTGCAAAAGAAAAGGCTCAGATGGCTTAAGAATGCTGTTCTTTACAATTTATAGTGGTAGTCATTATAATTAGGAAGAAGTTTAATGACATGCAGTATATTTGGCATAATTCTAACACCTCTCTAGATGGTTTAACGATACATAGGAAGCCTATGAATTTCAAGAATGCCGCTCTACTGAGCATTAATGCAGTAGATACTGCTTATAAAATTACCCATGGCCTGAGGTCATGGTATTTCTATTCTGGTCAAGCTTCAAAAATTGCATATATAGCTTGATCATGCTAGCCCTTTTTGTCCTGGGAATATTTTTATTCCTGCCCATTGTGTTAAAGCTTTTCTTCAACAACATCAACATGTTGGCAGCCAAGTACATGGCTTGAACCTGAAAATGGACCCTCAGACGGAGTTTTTAAATTAACAGGCTGGCAAGCCAACGACCAGTAAGATACTGTACAGAGCCTTACCAACCTAAGACATAAGTGCATTGCTTATTGCATATTCCATGGCAGGTAAGGAAAACATTCTTATCAGAATGACCTAAGACAGGCTCAGTCTTGTTAATGAAATAAAAAGGGGAGAGATGCGGAGAGCCTTTGGGATTGCTTGGCAAGAATCTGACACAGTCCAAGGACAAGGAAATGGGCTGCTTGGCAGAAATATGACATTGGCCAAGGACAAGGCAGTGGGCTTCAGGCAGGAATCTGACATTAGGCTAGAACAAAGAAGTAATTTCAGGTAGGAATCGAAATCTTAGGCTACAACAAAGAAGTAATCTCAGGCAGGAACCTAAATATTAGGCTAGAACAAAGAAGTAATTTCAGACAGGAACCTAAATTTTAGGCTAGAACAATAAAGTAGGCTTCAGACATGAAAATGACCTTAGGCTAGGACAGGAAAGTAGGCTCAGATACTTTGGTCATCCTTATAAGCTCTTAGAAACAGTGATTATGAGAGTGTTCATGGAATTTAGTTTAATGCCTTGCTTTTTCTTTGACCATTTGTGTTTATTGTCTTGCTTGTTCCTTGACTATTTGCATCCATTGTATTGCTAGACCTAGAACTGACCTTAATACATGCATGTAATCAAAATGTATGAAAGCAAAAAGGAGGAGGGGGGATGGGATAGGGGGTTCTAAGGAATGGAAATGGGGAAAGGAGATGACACCTGTATTGTAAATAAATAAAATATCCAAAAAATAAAATAAAAAATTAAAAAATAAAGAATGCTGTTCTTACAAAAGATGTAATCCTGGTTCCCAGCACCCACACTGGGCATCTCATAGCCATCTATAACTTTAGCTACAGGGGCTGTGATGGCATCTTCTAGCTCAGAAGGCAACTGCCCTCATTTGGCATGTATACAGGGACACAAAAACTATAAAAATAAATTCTTTTTTTAAGTTATTTAAAATTGAGAAAATGGCTAATGACTGTAATGTACATATGTATTTATTTTTAAACTAGCCTTTCTTAGAAGATAATTAGTTTTTCACTAGAAAGTGCTTAAACATCTAGACAGGGTCTGGAACAAACAGTAACTCAATGTATTCATGGCAACCATAAAAGAGTTTGAAAAATAAAAGAAATTGAAAATGACAACCACTCTATGCGAATAACAGGTACAAGGTTATTAAAATATCGTTAATAGTGAGTCCAGTGAATGGCTCAGTGGGAAAAGACACTCTTGCCAAGCCTGATGAAGTAAGGTTAAACCCTGGGACTCATATGGTTAAACAAAAAAAGGGGAAACAACTTCTGAATGCTGCCCTCTGACCTACACATACACAAAAGAAAATTTTAAAATAACAAATTGTTTTTTAAAATTTTTTAAATTTAATAATGCAGGACATGGTGGTTCATCCACACCTTTAATCTAAGCACTTGGGAAGCAGAGGCAGGCTGATCTTTGTGATTTTTTTTTCAACCAGCCTGGTTTATATAATGAGTTCTAAGTTACAGGGATGGACTGTAAGACCTGTCTCCAAAAAAAAATTTTCTTTTGGGAAAAAAAAATCAGAACTAAGAGTGGATTGATAGGGGTGGGAAAGAGGCAGAAAAGGGTAGAGGTAGTGAAGACAATCAGAATGTGTTATATACATGTATGGAACTGTCGAAAAGAAAGGAAGAATAAATTAATAAAAATTACTAAAAAGTATCAGAACTAGGGCTGGAGAGATGCCTAGGTTCCTTCGAGAGGTAACAACAGGACAAAGCTCTAGACGAAACTGCCTAAACTGCAGGTCTGACTTTTCTACTCAGTATAAGCATCCCCATTTGTAACCCGTGTAAGAGTGATGTTGTGTACACTGATATGTTGTAAAGTACTTTAAATAGCTACAATTCTAAAAGACACAGCTAAGCTACTAACACTCCCTCACTCCAAAGGAACAATGTCAGAAGTAAAGAAAAAACATGTTTAGTATTCTAATAGCAATAGTGACCCACTTACCAAAGTGGAAACATTAAAGTCATTAACATTTTGTTCACTCAGAGCCCATGACAACATCTAATCACCACTATACTCTCAAAAGTTACTGTGCACTGGCAAGCAAGCATAAGAACACTCAACAATAATTAAAATGAACCCTAACTTCATCTGGCCATATTGATAATAGGATTAAAAAGAAGCCAGCAAGAGAGGATAAAAGACATTGTAGAAAAATCATTTAAAGCATAACTAAACAGAATAGCCTAGTAAACTACCCTGTCTCTCTATTTCAAGTTGAGAAGCTGTAGCTAGCTCTCATTTCACACACTGGTTCTTTTCCCATGATTCTGTTATTTCCCATGTCCCTCTCAAGTATTGTGTTTCATCTTTAGAGAGAAACAAATACGATGTACTCAAGACAATAGTCTTTTTTATTTTCTCATACAATCCCCAGACTTTGGGCTGGAGAAGGGCTCAATGGTTATGAGGGCACAGTGCTCGAGAGGGCCCAAATCAATTCTGTAGCACCCATATCTAGCAGCCCACAACCACTTGTAACTACAGATCCATATGGGATCTAATGTCCTTTCTGGCTTCTGTGACCACAGCATATACATATACATACAATTAAAAATAAAACAAAAATTAAAATTTTAAGATTCTGGGGTCTTATGTACTTCTAGCCTTGGTCTGCTATGATGTAGGGGTAGCTTGTAACCTCAGTGGAGGCATGCTAATACCTAGAAATTCCTCAGAAATTTGGTGAGGAATCTGGAACTCATCACTTACCTACAAAGGATAAAGGCAAGAATTATTCTAGAACTGAGAATAACGAAAAGGCCAGAGCATAGTTTCAGAGTCACATTTTAAGAACCAATAAGATCACATGAGTTAGGCTATAAAGTATTTTTATAACCATATTATTATTTATCATTCAATATCAAAAATTTAAATTATAAAATTAAATTTTTTATGAAGATGAATTAAACAACTGAAAGCCATTTCAGTACCATCTAACTTTTAAAATGTCCATTTCAGAAATTCAGTGATATTAAAGACAAATGTATTTGTCAGTTCATGAAATAGAATGAGTTGTGAGGAGATAAAGACAACACTGATTTTAATTAAAATTTTAAACTACTTCACCCAATATAGAGATACTTACAACTTTCTCCTCTAGGGAAAGAACACCCTCGACTGCTACTATCTGGTACTGCTTATGTTTTAGATTGCCCACAGGTTTCCGTAGTTGCCTGAGACTACCAGCCTCCATATCTTGTTTTAACAGTTTCTGCATTTCTCGAGAAGGACATCCAGGATCAAATATTAGCAAACATAATGTTCGGTTTTTTCTCTCTTCAATTCCAACAACTGTTCGACTGTGACCTATTCAATGCATAAATAACAGTTAATATGTCACATCTATACACAGACATTACTATAGATACATTTGACTTCTCTTTGTGGACTTCTGTGTGTTTCACACACACACACACACATTCACTCTTAAATAAGTATGGTCTGAAAAGGCATAAGTGACAAGTGAGCAAAGACTGGAAAAGGACAGGGATGAATAATCAGAGCAGTGAACCAGAAACTGAGCACAGGAACTGCAAAAGCCCCAGGATGCTGGATTCCTCAAGAGGGACCAGAACGAAAAATAGCTCTGATAATCACCACAGCACATCTGTTCATAAGCAAGAGTCATCTACTATCTTAAAAATATTATAGTTGTGCGTGTGAGATCTACTAACCCTGATGCTGGAGATAGATAGGAGGTTTAGATGTACACACAACCTTTGGAGTCCCTTCTGTCTCTGAAGAATAATAGTTCAATATCCATTCAAATAAGCGAGGGTGTGTACCCGAAGGACCAGTTGACTTGTGAAAATCAATAATGCGGCACCTAAACAATTGAGAAAGCAGATAATTTAGTGAATATTTTACAAATTTTTGCATAAATGTAATTATTCTAACAAAAATCTTAATCTAGAACAAATTTGTGTTTCTAGTACTTCCCTATGAAGAAAAAAGTAAATATAAATTTTTAATCTTAATTTAGAGATCATTTTGTGGGAAAGTAATTATTCCAATCACCATAGTAATTCAAATTATTCAAATGATCTGTAGTAAGACTGACAAATAAGATAAAGGCTACAAAGATTTCCGAACATAAAAAGTATCCCCGAACAGCAAATAAAACAATGCTTGACTTTTAAAAGTCAAATGCAATAACCTGGGATATTGTCACCTTTATTCTAATGTCTATAGCCCTGATGATCAACTAGAAACTGATGGTTTCGCTGCCGAGATTATAATACTAGGTAAAGTTGTTTGCTGTGTAAGCATGGGGACCTGAGTTCAATCCCCAGAACCCACATCAAGGAGGAAGAAAAAACAGCTCCACAAATTTGTCTCTGACATCCGCATACACAATCCAACACACACACACAGAGTAATAAAAAGTTAGGTGCTTAGAAAAATAGATCAGAAGCTAAAAGCACATACTACTCTTGCAAAAGACTCACACTTAGTCAGAATTGGCTGATAACTCCAGCTCCAGGGGATCTAAAGGCATCTGTACTCAGATTCACATATTCACAAAGATGCATCTATACATATAACTTAAAAATAGTCAAATATTTTTTAAAGTTTTAAAGAAAACTGACTTCTTGTAGGATTGTTCTATACTCAGCAAATTTATAACAGTGTAAACATAAAAACAAGTTAAAAAGTCAATCAGTAAGTTTTTGTATATCTTTATTTAAAAGAAAAAAATAAAGCTGAATTCTGGTTTTAATCTCCAGTAGAAGTCATTTGTACTAGTGAAAATTATTCTAAACATTTTCTTCCATAAATGAATGAAAGAATGAATGAATGAATGAATGAATGAATGAATGAATGAATGAATGTAAAAAGAAATTCTGAATATGTTCAATTTTCTTCAATTCCATAGTGAAGAGCATAGGAAAACATGTGGGAATTCACATTTCCATATCTCATATTTGGCCCCAGACTATAGTGGAGTCATCTTGAATGAAAGATTGTTGAGGTAAGCTCACTTCTGTATTATTCCAAAACTATTTTAAAGTAAAACCAAAAGCATTTAGTATCTTTATTACTATAAACTTCAGCCTACACAGCCAATCCTTGTCCCTCACAGCAATGAAAAATACAAAATATTCTAAACTCTTACAGGTTTCTGCTGTAGTTTGAATGTAAAATACCCCTTGTAGGCTCACATGTTAGACTTGGTGAGCTGGCAGTGCTATTTGGGAAGGTTCAGGAAACTAGGAGGAGAAATCACCACGCTAGAGGAAGCAGGTCACTGGAGGCAGGCTCTGAACATTTGCAGCAGGTTTATATTTCCTACTGAGGGGCTGCTTCCTGACTGCCAATGCAATGTGACCGACAGCCAGTCTCCTACTTTCTGCCACTATGCCTTCACTGTTTCCCACCATGATGGAATGTATCCTTTGAAACTGGAGGTCAAAACAAACCTTTTCTCAGTGAAATTGCTTTTATCAGCATGAAAATATAGCTTTTATCACACCATGAAAATATAGCTAAGACAGTTGCTAATTTTAGTCATACGAAATTTAATGCTGATAATTTGCAAACGAACACAATGTTAGCTGTAGTTTACAGGTACATACTTTACTTTCAGTGAGGTCAGAAGTGTATATATCTCACATGCTCCAATCCAGGACTTTGTTCCCTGTAATTTGTTATTAAGTTGAGAGGCCCCCTGAGGATCAAAACCTTCATTCCATGCATCTTCAATCATGGACTGAATTTTTGGAATACAAGGAACTGACATACCTGAAATTATGTAAGCAAATAAGTCACAAGGCCAGGTACTAATACACTGAACAAAAATATAATGTAATCATATATACTCTACTAGACAAACCTACATGAGTTCCTAAGACACTTATTCCTAATACCTTCCTAATAACATAAACTCAAATGGTAATAGTACTTTACATACCTTTCAAGCAGTCACTATACATATCATTTTGCAATAATGATGAAAGTAGCATCTGGAAATTTCTATAACCGCAACCCCAACCTTTGTCCCCAAAAGATGAGTGAAAGTGATCCACCACTGTAGAGAGCCACACACACCTTACATCTGTGGCAACGTTCTGATAATACCTATGGAGGGCTTCGATAACTCCTAAAATAGAAAAGATTTAAAACACTTGATTAGAAAGATTTATTCATCATCATTAAATGGCTATTTATATATCTAACATCGGCCTGAAGCTCCAAAAAAAAAAAAAACCCTTGCAGCTCAGCTTTACTTCTCACCTTAGCTCATGTACTGTCTCCACAAGCCAAGTTTTCTAACACTAAAATCATACTCATTGCATAGAAGCTTTCTGCATCTTTAAGCTCTTCAACTGCAAAGCCTGAGACACAAAAGTATACTTACAGAATGCATACTCTTCTTGTCTTTCTATTTTTACATGCATTACTAAAGCTTGGTCAGTCTTAGCCAACCTGCTTCCAACTAAAAAAAAGTACCTCCTGACAGCCTACAGGGGTTCATATTAATGTACAGCATATACAGCCGATTGTAATGTGGCCTCCATCTGACCTTTTAGCATTATTCTTGACATAAAATTGCTTGATTAAAAAATTATGCCTATGGGTTTTAATTTTATTTCTGTATTACACATTGTATACATAAGAGGAGAGTAAGTTCTAAGCCATAAAAAATAAATGTGACAACATCCCTGGAAAATGGCACTAAACGCTAGTATTTCGTTAAACAAGGTATTCAGACAAGTTACATATGATTCTTCCTTTTAGAATATTCTTCTTCCATTTAGAATCCTAAAAATCGTCTAAGGACAAACATCATCTTTAACTACCTTTTTCTGACTCTCAATAACAAACATTGCACTTATTTGTGTGTGTGTGTGTATGTGTCTTACTTATCTAGTTACACTTTGTCATAGTAGGACAGTACAGATTTTTTGTGCATATTTAGTCTTCTTTAAAAACTCTGAAGCTTCCTACTTCAGTGCAGTGATGTCTGTTATGTAGTTCATGCTTTCTCATAGTATGTGGCACAAAAAAAGAAAAGTCATTATATATATTTTATTTGAATGAAATACAAAAAAAAATTATGTCTTTAGAGAGACAGATAAAAAACAAAACAAAAGCAAATAAACAAAAAACAATCATGTAACCAATAGCTATACTACCATAAAGAACAGAAATTAGTTATAAATTAAGAAAAACAAACAAACAAATAAGATTCACATTGAAGAGAAAGAGCAATGGAAATGACTTGTTACTGAGTATTAAGTTTATACATGGTGAAGTGACATGTAAGAGTCTAAGTGTCTAAGTTTATACACAGGCATCTGGGAACAGAATGATGAATGTCGACCTGGATGAGATCAAGATCTAATTAACACAGGCCTTTAAGAATGAAAGGGGGAAAACCTATAAGTAGTATATATTTGCGTATACTCTGCCATGCTTGCTACATGTAAGACAGGAATACCTCATTTCCTGGTAACCTTCATCTTAACAATAATACTACACAACCACATTAAAGAAGAATTTTCTTATTAGTATTTTTAATTCCTAAATTTCCTTAGATGTTTTCCAAATAAGCTACCTATTGTTAAGTTATACTTTACTGTTTAAAATACAAGTCAATAAATATATAAATAAGTGTTAAACGACTATTCTAATAGACACTTGTACAATTGACCAAAAATTTAAAATCTTTTCCACAGAGCTGGTGAGATGGCTCAGCAGAAAGGGACACTTGCTACTTTTGCAAAAGACATTGAGTTTAGTTCCCAGTGCCCACACTGGGCACCTCAAAAGCAATACAAAATCCAGGGCATCTGACACCTTTGCAGAAGGAAAACAAATTCAATAAATGGTGTCAGAAAAAGAACTACATTAGTCACATGTAAGTGCATACAAATATAGCACTATTATAAATAAGGACAAAAACCCAGATCCCCTCTTTCCTTCCCATATCAGCCCTACTCTGTCCCCATAAACAAAGAAACCAGATAGATTAAAAATAAAAACACAGGAACACAGGTTCTATTCCCAGCACACATGTAGTGGTTAAAAACATCTGTAACTCTAGGTTTAAAAAAACAAAAATATGTGTGTGCGTGTGTGTATTTTATGAATAAATCCATTTATACCCTGGATCTGGAATTACAGACTGTGGTGAGCTACCAGGTGGGTGCTAGTAATTAAACCTGGGTTCTCTCCAAGAGCAAAACATACTCTAAACCACTTAGCCATCTCTCCATCCCTGTGAGATCATGTCTTTAAAAACAAAAAGTCTAGTCATAAGAATGCAACTGTTTCTATATAAACTGTATTAGATCCCTAACAGAGACACAAAAATATAATTGGAAAAAAAGAAGACAAGCAAACAAACAAAACAGTAACCAGAAAAAATGGCATACTATCTTGAGTAAGGCAGATCTGATTATTATATTGGCTAGTCCTATAGCTAGCCATCTATGCAAGTCCTAAGAATGTTATATACACGCTAAGTGTCAAGTGCATAACAATGTTCATTTGGGCCCAGAAGAAATACTGTATATAAATCTTTTAGTATTCAAAATAAAATGAGTAATAGGGTGGTCATTATGTACATGAGGCTATTGAACACTTGAATTGTAGTGTTTCTAGTTGAAATGTCCTGTAAAATAACGGATTCGGTAGGTTATACAAAGAACATAAAATATTTCAATTAATAGTTCTTGTGAGGTGAACATGATAACTACTAAACTATGGAAAAAAACCCTCTTGATACTGACGATTTTTTAAAATGGTACAATAGACACTGTATTTAAATTATTAGAAGGTGAGATTTAGACTCCTGACAGTTCAACAGCAATTTTATAAATTTTACTGGCAAAGCAATACGTTCAGCAGAAACCGTACTTTGACTATGGAAGTGTTCCTGAGCACTGAGGTAAGTTATTTTCTACAGTGCTTACAATCAGTCACCATTTTAGGAAGGAACATCTTGCTAAGCTACAGTGTTTAGTATATATATATATATATATATATATATATATATATATATATAATATATATTGCAATTTCAACTTATAATATTTTCAACTTACAATGATTTATCAACACATAATTCACTATAAATGGAAATGCTTCTGCAATTTTATGTTAATTTTTATTTTCTTTAATGTGGCTTTAATAGATGTAAACTTCATGTAGCTTATATTATGTTTCTATATTTTATTCAGTTAACCAATAATTTAAGCTAAAGTTTCAGTGTCATGACTGCCTTAGTGTAACAGAGCACTTTCTGCCTAGACTGAAGGTATATCCATGAGAGCAAAGTCTTGTCTGGTACTGTAAATATAGTCAAAATCCCCCTGTGTAGGAAACCCACGGGCCCCACAGGAATGCTACTATAGCTCACCAAATGGACATGATATGACATTAAACTGTCTTCTACATGTTATATTTACATCCATAGATTAGTGCTGTACATTTTCATCAAAGAAGACTCTTTTAATAGTGGGTATCAGTAACTACTCAAAGAACTGGGTGAGAATAACTGACCATTTGATAGTCAGTCCTAAATGGGTTATCTGCATTAATCTCTCCAAGGCTCAGGAAATATCAAGGAAGAGGACATTGTTAAACAGCAGAGCCTGAAGAAGAGGGAAAACATGGAATGCTATCTTCTAGCCATGGCATGGCTGTTGGCTTTCAAAATCAGCAGCAGTGACTATCTACAAAAGACTAAGCTGGCCAACACTCTGTCACAGAGATGAGAGGTGTTCACAGGGACCCACCCATCTCTGTGGATTTACAGATATTAAACCATTAGATGAGAGATAATAAGGTCCTTCTCCTTCCATAGAAGCTATAAGAAGTTAATTAACCATTAACCAGGGTTTGGGGACGGAGAAACATCATTTTTCTCACCCATGCTCCTGTAAATACCCTTCATTTGAGTTCTTTTAAGCAACCCTTAACCAAAACCAAATAAACACAAGCAAACAAAAAACATGTGGAAATAGGGATGAGACAGGGTCGCGGGGTATTGGTAGATATTAGCTGGAAAGAGGAAAAGGGAGGATCAGAAGTTGGGGGACAAAAAAAGAGGAATGGGGTAGTGGTGAATACAACCAAAATATATTACATACACGTATAAAAATATCATATTGAAACATTATTTTATATATAATTAATATATGCAGATAAAAATCTAAAATAATCCAAAAGATTAATTACCCATTGTTGTGAGTTAATACAATTGAAGCCAAATTATTTTAAGTGAATTATTTACTATAAAAATAGTTTAGAAATTTTAAAATTTTTTGTAAAAAATGTGTGAACATACAATTTTACCTCAAACTATAGAAACTATTGACTGAAAATTCAACAAATTCTAGTGGTTTTATTACTCTAATAGTATATGCAATATTAAAACTGTGGCTTGGATATTTAAGCACTCACCAGAAGTTTTTGTTTTTCCATCATCAATACCAATAGCTATTGATTCCAACATGTCAGCTTTTCTGCTATGAAATTCAGATGGATGCATTCTTCCCCTATTTACTTCTAGCTCCATAAGTCGTAGCTGCTGTTGTTTGTATCCTCCAGAATTATCTAAACCATACTGCCGCTATTGAACATAAAAACAAATAACTTATTTTTATGTCCCTGTACTTCAACCACATGGAAACTTATAACTTTCATTTTTTTGGAAATGTATGTTCAAATATTCTGGTTTATGGGTTTTCATACAAGTAAATTGCAAAGATTTAGTGAAAATTAAATCACACATCTATAACTTAATAATTAGATATTTCTGTAAGCTTCTCTAACTCATATATAAAAGGCCCACCTTTCTGCTAAGGTATTAAGAAAGGCAAAATTCCAAAGATATTGATGGTTACAAAAGAAATTATGGGAACTTGCTATTTTGCAATGCTGATCCAGTAAGGCCCTACTTAGTTCATACATCATTCAATCATGCTACATCATACAGGAGCTGAGAGACTCAAATGTATAAACTGCCTTTATGGATAAACTTCCTGAGATCTAGACAGCTTACAAAGTTACATCAGTATCATGGTTAATCTTGACTACCAAGCTGAAACGATTTTAAAATTACCATGAAAACAACCTTTTGGGCATGTCTGCGAAGTTGTGTCTAGAAATGGTTAATAGAGATAGGAAATCCACCCTAAATATGACACTGTCCCATGGGGTGAGCTGAATAAGAGGATAAATGTATTCGTCCCTCCCTGTTTCCTGGCTATGAATACAATGTGAACAGCAACCATACTTTCCTCACACTGTACATAAACCCTCCTCCATTAAGGTGCTTCTGGTCAGTTATTTTATCAAAGTAACAAAAAAGGTTTAAGGAAGCTTACTGTAATAAGCCTGACAACGGAGTTCTTAGGCCTCTGGAACAGGTTTATGACGAAAATTGTGGAAGTTTCAAACTACAGGCTCAAAAAGACCTTGAATATTGTGAGCAGAGCTTTGGGGGCCGTGCACACAGAGTAAAAAGACCAGAATGCCAGGAAGAATGTAAGCAGTGGAAGTTCGCCTCAGCAGGTGTCAGAGACAAGAGAGTTCCCAGCTCCTGCTCTTAATACCTTGCCTTCCAACCTGTCTCCACACGCTCCACCATGATGATAATGGACTCTCTAAAACTGTAAGCAAGCTCAATTAGATGCTTTCTTTAAGAGTTGCCTTAATACAGTGTCTCTTTACAATAATAGAACATTAAGATAATTGTAAAAGAGATAAGCACATTAACAGAGAAAATGGGCACTGTGCACTAAGATGAAAGGAACCTTTATTTCATCCACTAAAGGCTCCATCTAATAAAAAAGAACAATTCATTTGAAAGGAGGGGGCCAAAACTGAGACTGCCACTGAAGGGTTTTCTAAAAACAAACAGCAACAAAAGCAAAAACAAAACCCCATCATATAGGAAAGTGCTTTCCCATGGTAGGCACACTAGGTTAATTCCAACTGTGCTCCAAGTGGCAAGGCTCTATCCCAAGATAGTAGCAAAACTTGAATGTTGTCACAAGTGGTACTTGCAGGTAGGAAAGATGCAGGATTCATTGGGTTTTGTACTATGGTTCTAGAGAATCACTGAGACCATGAATATGCACAGTCCTCCCATAGCCAAGTTCCAACAAGGAGGCCCCAAGAGGTCAAGGAGTAAAGCTGTAAAGGTAATGCAGAAGTTGTAATAGGAATCCTAGGATGCTGGGGATCACAGACCCATAGGCTATCTACTGAGGAAAGAAGGCACAGGGTGAAAATGGCCCAAAAGAAGGCTATTTGTGCTACAGGCAGCAAAGCAGGAGAGTAAGGACTACTCAAGCCCCCTGGAGTCCAGTGGTTCCATCACAAGTCCCAGATACCTAGCATGAAGCTACAGGAGTTGGTGCTTGCTCAGCTGCACTATGCTTTTGCATTGGTCTGATATTTCTTTTGCTATGTCATCATTCTTCCTTTTTAGAATCAGAATATCCACTCTGCACCATCATACAGTAGAAGCACAAAATGTGTTTTGTGATAGTATACAGACTAACAGTTAAGAGATTGGTTAAATCTCACAAGAGACTCTGCTCTTATACTTTCGAACAGTACTGTATTAAAGACCATGAGATCTTTTGAAGTCATAGAGAATATAAGGTACATTATGAAATAGTTTGTTTCTTTTTTTGTCTGTTACAGGATGTTAATTTATAGTTAAGATAGTTGCTCAGGTGTCAGACGAGATTATCTACATATAGTTTTGAATAGTACTGACACCATTAAAGACTATGGGTAGTTGGACTGAATGCCTGTCCATGATAAGATAGTCATGAGTCTATGGAGACAAGTGCTGGAAGACTATGGTTTAAAAGTGATATGTTTGGGGGCCAGAACGATGCCTGAGCAGTTAAAAGCACTGACTGCTTTTGCAGAAGTCGTGAGTTCAATTCCCAGCAACCACACAGTGGCTCACAACTACCTGTAATGAGATCTGATGCCCTCTTCTGGTGTTTCTGAAGATAGCGACATATACTTGCATGCATAAAACAAGTAAATAAATCTTTTTAAAATATGTGATTAGTTTGAGTGTCAAGGTGACAAATAGAGTTGCAATAGTACATTTTGACTGTCAAGTTGATTGTTTTTTAAATAAGCTTGAAGAACTGGTGGAATGGCTCAGTGTGTAAAAGTGTCTACCATGCAAGGCTAATGTATTGAATTAAATCTCTGAAACCCATAGTGAAAGGGCAGAACTGATTCCCCAACGTTGTTCTCTGATTTCCACATATGCTCTATGGCATTGGGCAAGAAATACATACACACAAATGTATACAAGTAATAAATAAAATAAAATCACCATGGAAACCAACCCTGGGTAATGAATATGAGAGAGCTTATATGTGAGACTGTGAAAGGATAGCTTGGTTTCTGGTAGAGCACTGGCTAGAGATGGCCGGAGACCCAACAGGTATCCCTGCGGGGGATGGCAAGCATTTCGCTAAGCTCTCAGACTCCAGGCACGCAGCCAAAGACCTCCATTGATCAGTGCCTTTCAGTCATGTAGAGCAATGTCCCTACCAGCCCCTCCACAGGTAGACAGCATGACTATAGGTCGCAGAGCCTCAAGAGATTTCCATATTAATAAGATATCTAAAGGCCAGAGGGTGTAGCCAATTAAACATTCCTTCCCAGACCCTCCTCCTTACAAACTGTATTTAACCTCAGGCCCGCCCTGAGGACACAGGATACAGCTACATCTCCTTTCTGCCATGACAATACACCTTTTAAAAACCATGGACTTCCTCGTGTCATTGGGGCCTGCCGTGGAGAACTGTAGAGGGGGCCTTCAACTCATAATGAGCTGCTGCCACCTAATCTCCAGCCTGGAGGGCTTCTCTATGTTTCAGCCACGGAGCCTTGCCAACTCAAGCAAGCTAGCCGACCCAGCCTTGACCCAGTCAAGCAAGTCACAGTGACCAAGAATCTCCTACACACAGAGTGCTGCTGGAGCTTCCCCCTCTCGTCTCTCTCTGCTGCGGGCATATGCCCACTCTGTCTCGGTCCTTCTGCGGTCCCCAGCGGCGTCTGGGAGCCCAAGGACAAAGACCACTGGTCTCCCGGTCAGCCGCTTAGACCCAGAGACCCCCAACCCAAGAGCTCTGTCCCCACAGGACTTCAGGCTGAGACCTCTCCACTCGGAGCCCCGCGGCTTCCCAGCATCCGCCAGGCACCACGTGGAGTGAACTCAGTCAAATTCCCGGCTTCTGCTTCCCAAGCCTTGGTTCCAGCAGCCTGGGGCAGCAGATACAAAGGATCCACAACTCAGCCCAGCAAGATCCACACCTGCGCACAAGCCACAGCTCTGCACTTATAGAGATTTGGTTAACTGAAGTGCAAAACCTACTTTGAATATGTACAGAGTTGGTTGGCCTTCCAGACTGAATAGAAAGGACAAAGTGTACTGAGACCTAAAACCATTTTGTTGTTTCCTTAACTGTGGATGCAGAAAAACCAGCTACCTCTTATTCTTCCTGCCATGCCTTCCCTACTGTAACAGATTGCATCCCCTCAAACTGTAAGCCAAATGAACACTCCCATTTTATGTGCTTCTTGTCAGGTATTTGATCACAGCTACAAGTATCTAACACAATAACAAACCTTTTTAAATGTTAGGGACTTTCTGTATTGTTAATATTCAAAAGGCTTTGTATATTTTTAGGGTGTTATATTTTGAACAAAAAACTACAGGTCCTGTTTGAAATACCTGTGTCTCAGACCAAGATGCTATTTTGGGAGGCTTTTGTGGAACCTGTAGGAAGTTGTGCTTTCCAGGCAAAAAGAGACCAGTAAAGATCAGGCCCAACTCCGGTCATACTATCAGCTTCCTGTTTGTTCCACTGTAATGTGAATGGCCTCTCCAATGAGTTTTCCACTATAATAGCCTGAAATTGTGAGTCCAAATAAAAAATTCCTCCCTTAAGTTGTTTCTGTAGACAAATAGGATCACAGCACTGTAAAAAACTAATATGTATGGCCAAAAAAAAAAAAAAAGACTTAGAAAAAAAAAACAATTTTTTCTTATTTGTCTGAATTCTGATATTAAAAAACATTTTGCAAATAAATAAATAACCAATAAATTTTGAGGGGTGGGAGATGCTAAATTAGATCTTCTAACACCCATTTCAAGAAAAAACAATCATGTGTAAGATGTCTGAAAAAAAAAAAAACAGAAGAAAATTGTATGTATAATACACAATACTAAAGGCTTTCAGATGTACATAAATCTGGAAACATTTTTAGATCTGTTCATAAACCCTTTATATTTGTACTATCCTGTTAATGCATACAAATGACATTAAAAATGCTATAAGCATTATCAGTACAAATAACCATAGTTCACAGATTAAAAATGAAAAGGGAGAAACATTAAAATTTTTAATGCATTAAAATCCCTCAGATGGCCGGGCGGTGGTGGCGCACGCCTTTAATCCCAGCACTTGGGAGGCAGAGGCAGGCGGATTTCTGAGTTCGAGAGTTCGAGGCTAGCCTGGTCTACAGAGTGAGTTCCAGGACAGCCAGGACTACACAGAGAAACCCTGTCTCGAAAAACCAAACCAAAAAAAAAAAAAAAAAAAATCCCTCAGATGCTGCCACTTTAGTCCAATAGATACTACTTTCACATAAGGAAAATGTGTCCTTAAACATCATAAACCACTAAACTCTGAACACTCACTAAAATTAAAAATGTCTTAATTGTATTCTTTAAAGGTACTTAAGACTAAAAAGAGATAAACAATAGCTTTAAGTAAACAGATTCTCAGTACAGTGCCCGCCCTCACATCAACCCCATGTTTGCATAGCTTTACAGGGACACTTTGCTGTCTAATAGTAGTTGTCTAATCCATGGAAAATCAATAAACACTTTCTTTTCCTTCTTCATTTAAAGACAGGAAAGAAAGAAAAACAAAAACAACAAAACCCCTGTGGGTTTCCTATGAAAACTTTTGCATAATTTATCTGAAATGATTATTCTAACATCTGAACATTGCTTTGGGGTTTTTTGTTTGTTTGTAATGTACCCCAGGTTGGTCTCAAACTCAAGAGATTCACCTTCCTCTGTCTCCCTAGTGCTAGGATTAAAGGCATGTGCCACCACAGTTAAGAATGACTACTTAATTTTTTTATTTTTATTGTGCATGCTTATGGGTGTGTAAGAGTGTGTGTGTGTGTGTGTGTGTGTATACATACAAGCATGTGCTTGTCTGGGTAACAAATAAGAATGGGATTGCCTGGAGATGGAATTACAACCAGTTATAAGCTGCCTGAAGTAGAGGCTGGAAAATGAACTCAGGTCCTTTGCCACAACAGTAAGCACTCTTAACTATTGAGCCATCTCTCCAGCTTTGGAAAATAGCTACTTTTAAATGTTTTCCCCCTAATAAATTATAAAGTACACAGATAAAAGTATGTTTTACGTAACATGGACAGACTAGTAGAAATCTTTTTTACTCTGAACCTTAGCTTTTAATAACAGAGCCATATTTATAAACCAAGGTAGACATCTCAGAACCATATTTAGGAAACAAGAACTCTATTCAATAAAACTGTTACTAATCTTTGTACCTGCAACTTCTGAAACTCTTCCCTTTCTTGTCTTGATTCTTCAGATTTCCTCTTTCTGTCTTCTTCTTGCTGAAGCTGGTGAGCTAATTCTCTATCACTACAACACTGGACTCTGTCCATGCCTATTGGAGAATAACAACCCAGATTCAGTCAGTGCATACGCTCTAGCAAGCATTTCTCATTAACTAGCTAATATGAACATCCTAACACCTTTAGGGAGTATCCACCTGCTGAGAAAGACAAAAGGTGAGAGGTTGAGTGGCCCTTGTCATTGATGTCTCTGAACACAACTAATGGAGAGAAAGAAGAAAGTAATAGAGAAAATAAAATATATATTCACAACCTCCAACTGTTTCAATACAGTTACAGTTTTTATCCAAACAAGCTGAATAATTTTATAGCATAATGCCTTGCTTTCTCTCTCCCAGTAAAACTCAGATTCTTCAGTCAATGGCTTCTGTACTGTATCTTGTTTCCTAAACTCTTTACTTGTTAGGATCCTCCAGTAAAACAGAACTGAAAGCAAGATAAGAAAACACCACTTAACAAGCTCGAGCATGCACACACATATGTACACATATACACAGAGACAGAGAGACAGAGAGAGACAGACAGACAGACAGACAGAGAACATCATTAAATATCATGAATCATACAGGAATAGATCACATAATGATGCAAATGAATAGTTCTTGATAGCCTGAGAGACAGAGAAACCAGTAGTAAGAAAGTTGAAAGTGGCAGAGCAAGTTTGGCAAAATCAGAGTTCCCAGTATGAGGTCAAAGGCTCAAATTTTCTGGTAAGGATTATCACAAGAGTCCCAGAGTCCAAAAGACAAATACCCTGGAGTATACACATCTGCAAGAGCAGCTGTAGGAAAAAGAAAAAGTCCCAATTCAGAAGGAAGAGCGAAAGTGAGTCTATCCCTTCTTCAACTTTCATGGTCCATCTAGAATCCTAGTTATATTTGATGCTATCTGTCTACACTGAATGCAGATCTTCATTCTATTTGTCAACACATGCATCAGTTTTTCTTGGAAACACCCTCAGAGACACACCCAGAAGAAACAGTTAAGGAGTCTTCCAAGTATTCCTCAATTCAGGGACAGTACAATTCACAAACCTGTTGATTTAACTCCAAAACTAACTATTCGTTCTTACAAATCTCTCAGCTGTTGTCACACCTTCCTACTTGGTTCTCCCTTCCAATCTTGGGCATATAATTTTCAACTGATTTTTAGCATTCCCTGGGACTATTTTCATTGGTTTATGGAATACCAATAAAAAGTCTATCCATAAAGTAAGACATACCAGACATTCTGCTCTGAAACGGTTACCCCTTCCACAGCATCCTCTTACAATCTTATTCAAAGGAAAATAGCTTTGCTGGCTAGTTTTATATCAACTTGATGCAAGCTAGAGTTTACACATAGACAGCCAGAGCTACATAGTGAGACTCTGTCTCAAAAAACAAGCAACAACAATAATAATGAAAGACTGAGTGTAGGCAAGTCTGTAGTGCGTTTCATAGTGACTGGTGTTGGAAGGCCCAGCCTTTGTGGGTGGTGCCACCCCTGGGCTAATGGTCCTGGGTACTCTAAGAAAGGAGACTGAACAAGCTAGGAGAAAGAAAGCAGCACTTCATGACCTCTGCTTCAGCACCTGCCTACAGGTTCCTGCCTACAGGTTCCTGCCCTGACTTCCCTCAGTGGTGAACTATTATCTGGAAATGTTTAGATAAAATAAACTGTTTCCTCCCCAGGCTGCTTGTGTTGGTAGTGTTCTATTACAGCAACAGGAACCCTAAACAACGACAATGACATGCCAACTGGGATAGACAGTAGAAGACCACTGATGTGGAATAATCTTCCATCAATGCTCTAGCAACTTTCTTCTTGTGGTTATGAGCAAAGCAGGTACATGATACATAGAGATCACGGTTATTAGTAGTAAGTCACTGAACACTAAAATCTCCCACTTTACCAGGAGTTGTCCTCATACTCCCAAATACCGACAGAGTAATAAAAATATAAACAACTTCTCTTAGAGGTTGCTTTATTTTTCAGTGGCCCTAGGAGACTCATACAAGACACTAGCCCTTCTAGAGCTCTGTATGAAGTGTTTAAATGTTATTTTAAAAAACAGACAACAGGCCCAGGAGATAGCTCAGTCAGGAAAGGGCTTACCTCACAAACATAAGGATCTAAGTTCAGTGCCCAGAACCATGGAAAACATGTGAGTGTAGTTGTGCATGATTGTAATTCCAGTATTAGGGAGGTGGAGATAGGAGCAAACCTGGGATCAGGCCTAATTGGTATACTCCAAGACAGTAAGAGACCCATCTTAAAGGAGCTGTATAGCATCCTAAGGATGACATCCAAGGTTGTCCTATGGTATTCACACTCTCACAAGCATTTACACACACATGAACACACATACAATGTGTAAAGAGGAAAAACAGAAGAAAGTCATTATTACACTGGTTATTTTAGAAGACAATGAACTGGAAACACATATTGAGACTTTTAAATAACTATTGTGAAACAATTTCCTTGAGATTGAAACATTTCATCCTGCACAGTAACTCTTTTAACAAGAAGGTAAACCAAAAAACAAACAAAAAATCTTTAGGAAGTCCCTGAAACTGACTAGATTTACTAGGCTCCTCCCTGCTAGAGTAAGTAACAAAAGCAAGCCAAGCTGCAAAGACTCTCAGACAAGCCCCTGTTGCCTAGAAGAGGTTTAGATCAACTGAGCCACTTGGAAAGAACACACTCTCTAACCACCTGAGTTGCTTACAGGCTATGCAGTGTGCTCCAGGTTTCCTAGATTTTGTGAGCTATCCCCCATGAGAGAGTGGGCCTTGGTGATACAGCTGTGTAAGTAACCCCTCACCTATAAGTGATGCAAATAAAACGCATCAATTCACCAAAAAGTGGACTTTGGTAACACCAGTACTTTGGTCTATCATGGGTTCCCTATTTGGGGTAAGTAGATGTGTGTGTGCTGTATCTCCCCCGGAATCATTTTGTCACACAACAGTTATAAGGTCCACATAAATTCACAGTTTTTAAAATTGGCAGCTTCTTAGTTCAAAAATTTTGTTGGCTAAATGTTAACTTTGTTACTTTAAACAAATGAAAAAATGGCCTCGACTTGTCAATGAAAACTTTAGAAGGGCACACAGTTTAAAAAGTACTGTCTTAAATGAGGAGTCCTCTACATGTTGGAGCAAAACACAGGATATATAACCTTCACTTGGATGTTGTCTCCACTTTCCAACTTTTCTGCAAAACAACTTCAAGGAAAGCAGTGCAACTACATGAAGAATCATCTAAAGAGCCAATTTACTTTTAAATGGTATGACTTTATTCATGGTATTAACCTGAGAGATGTGTATTCTAGGAAGCAAAAATTGAAATATTTTAGACATAAACATACCTTGTTGAAAGCTGCTTTCTTCTAAATGTAAGTCTACATGTTCTTGGAGAATATGGTAATTTGTACAGACAAGTCCACACATGGGACAGTCATAGAGTGGTTGATGACAATCTGTAATAGAAACAAAGGTAGGATAGTTTAATTTGCTGGATTTTTAGACTTTTCACCCATGCCAAGGACTACCAACTTTATGAGTAAAATGCTTTTGTAGTTAGCATTAAACATTATCACCAGGCATAGTGGTACACACTTCTAATCACACCTCTCAGGAGGCAGAGACAATCAGATTTCTGTGAATTAAAGTCAGCCTTGTCTGACATCAATTTGTAGGCCAGCCAAGGCTATACGGAGATCCTGCCCCAATAAATAAATAAACCAAACACATCAAAAACTTTCTACTACTTTCTACTCTTGTTTTAAAAATAAAAGCTCTTTATAATTGGATTTAAAAGCTACTTCTCTGGGGGCCAGTGAGATTGGTGAGTAGATAATGGGGCTTTTCATTAAGCCTAATGACCTGAGCTTGATATCTGGGGCACACACTGTGACGAAAGCAACTCACAAATGTCACCCTCTGACCTCCACATGTGTGCTATGGCAAAAATACAACAGATGCAAAATAAATACATGTAACTTTAAGGTTGATACTTATACTAATTTCACAATATTGTTTGAAAACTGGTGATGCTTATGTCAGCCTCGGATGATGAGTAGGGTAGATGGTGATAGCTAATCTGTAAGACTTAGGTTTTTGGTAATAAAATAGAGTATGCAGTGATGTAAGGCACAATGGGTTAACATCTAATTTTTTAAAATGAATAAAATTACTTTTCTGAGAAAAAATGAGAGAATGGGTAATAGTATAGCTCTCTCTTACTACTCTATAATAAGAAAATAATAAACATTCACAACAGTGGTTTAAATAAGCCAGGTAGAAAGGAAAACTAAAACAAAGTGGGTACGAGTCTGGATAGAGAGTCTGGGAGCTAAATTCCCAGTATTCACCATGCAAAGTAGTCAGACACTGAACCCAAGTGTCCAGCACGAAGTTCAGCTCTGAAGTCATAATGCCTTTTGGGAACAGGAGATTAAAGAGATGATTCCAACAGGCAAGCCCAGAACAGGAACCTAGCAAGACTACAGCCAAGTAATAACAGTTCTAGAAGAGGTGCTCACAATTATATATATACACAGAAAGAAAGCACTAAGCAACTTATACATATAAGGCCTAGTCTGACATGGATACAAAAATGGCATGATGAAGGAACCATAAAGCTTCAGTGGGAAAGGATAATATAAAAAACTTTTGTAATAGATGAACAGTAAAATATCTACTGCCGAGAAAGGCAGTTCAGAACAGACTAAGTATTCGCTAACACATGCCTGCAATCCCAGCAACTACTTAGTATGCTGAGGCAGGAGATCAGAGTTCAGTACCAGCTTGAGCTACACAGTCAGACCATATTTCTAAACTAATTTAATAAAAACAGGAAAGCTAATCATATCTACTAAATCTAAAAGGATGGGTGTGCTTTTACTTAGTAATTGAATCTTTGGGAATTTATTTAAAACTATTAAAATATCAATAATTTGAATTATATGTTAAGAACACATATTATTACTGTTTAATAATACATACACACAGTTTCCAAAAATACTGCAAACTGAAGAAGCTAATGGGAAGCTGTAAAGGACTCTAACCTAATGTGCATAAAGTCGAGTAGAGTACTAAATTGAAACAAAAGAGAGAGCTGAATCTTTGCAAACATGTTCCAAAACAGCACTAAGATTTAAGAGTGGCTTCCATAAGCAGTGCTCTAGGGTATGAGAGGTCTCAGAGCCAGTGCCCAGAACTCTTTGCTTCTCCTTCTGGTCATTATATTACAACAGACGAAGCCCTCATTACTTCGAGTTTGAATTCACCATTAGCCTCTTAACATTTATCTTAGGTGCCTCCTTCAGATCTGCCTATACCATCTTTTGCCACCAGAAGTCTCCCAGGTTAGCCATCCCTGTTCAATGGACTCATTCAAGGCTGACATAAGCACCAACACCATCAATGACTCAGTAGCCAGCATCTGAGTCTTAGCACTGTTTAACAGTAGACATTCCTTTCATTACTCTGATGCAAGTTATCACCCTTTCTCATTCTCCATCTCCTCCTGCCTCAAGACCCCGTCAGCTGCAAGGTAACCTTGAGTTTTCTCTGTATACTCTTCTTCTTATGTTAACAGGCTCTGGTTGGCCCCATTTACTAACACAGAACGGATTTCCACTTCCACATTTCATAGTCCCAAGTAAAAAACATGTCTCTTTCTACTCCCTTTCAGACCACTGTTCTTCCTTCTTCAAAAGCCCCACTGCTCTGCTAGTTTTTTTCTCTACACTATGGATCTATAAGCTTCATTAGCTAATTTTCTCTTAAATACTAGAAACCTATTTTCATTTACTTAAAATGTTGATATAAATGGGTGCTTATCTTCACCCCATTAATCGTTCCTTTACTCCAATTTAAGCCAACAGTGTAATTATGTCCCTCACGTATCAGAATCTGTCAACCTCTGAAGTCCATCCAAACCATCCCTGTTCTACTTATCTTTAGCCTTCTACCTCACCACTAGTGATTATTCCACTCTGGTCACTGGCCTGACTACAATTTGCTATATGAAATATATACATAGGCACTATACTTCTCACTATTCATCTCTCATTTTCCTGTGCCTAAAAGTTAATTAAATTGAGATGATCACTCTATTCATGACAACCAGGTTGTTTTTCATGCCAAACCCCTTAGTGGCTGAGAATCAGTGTACCATCACAGGAAATGTCTGCTGTCTTCATCAGTGGTGGCTCCTGTTTTGGTTCATGCAGTTTTCCTGTGTAGTGAGTAATGAATCATCTACAGAGATTATTCAACCAAATCAATGGACAACTATCAAAATAAAAGTTGCACAAGACTAAACACCTTAACTATATGTGAAGGTTAACAATGCTTCTATAAATTTGCAAAAGTTAATTAAATGAAAAAACAAGTATAATGAAAAATGTGAGAAATCTTTATAGAGTGGTGTAAGTGATAACCTGAATTAATTTGAAAATGGGTGATAACTTAAGATCAAACAACAGTTTATAGAATTCTCATGAAACTTAACTAAATGGTCCTAAAAATTAAGCAAAAAATAAAAATTAAAAAAAATAATGAAGGACTAGAGAGATGTCTCAGCTCTTCTAGAAGACCACAGGGACTCAATGAATACTTGCGCGCACGCGCACACACACACACACCCCAATAATGAAAACAAAACCTTAAAAATAAAATGAGTACTTAAGGAAATGATAAAAAGGTCATAGAACTGTCATCTCTAATATTGATGACATGTTACAAAATTACAATTATTAAAATAGCAAAATAGTAAGGAATATTTGAGTAATTAGGAGCTGGAAGATCAGAAACTGACTCATACAGATACAATAACTTAAAAGTCATATGAATCAATAATTTTTACATTCCTAATTCTCACGATATACACTACATACAATACATACATAACCCAAACATAACAATCTGTAGAAGAATGTAAGCTGATATTTTATGACTGTGGAGGAAAAATTGCCACTGTAGGCGATATATAGAAACCAATGACAAAGCAAATTTAAACCCTCCAAAAATAAATGGGTATGCAAAAGTGGTGGATAATCACTTAAGTCAAGGATTACTACTGAGAATATATGTTCAAAGCAACTGAATAAGATATATCAAAAAATAAAAGAATACAAACATATAAAATATAAAAGAATGCACAAAAGAATATACATTGCAATAGAAGAAATCAACTAAAATTATTGATAATCATGGAAATATATTTAAAAAGAATACACACTGACTTTAGGCCTTTTCCAAGGCTATTTGTAATTTTTTTTTTTTGCAAAACTTAATTCAAAGAAGTCATAGTTATAAGTGCAAAATGCAAAACTCTAAAACCTTTTAGAAACTGGCAGTGAGTTTTCAAATACAACCGTAAAAGATCTATATGGAAGAAATTAAAATAAAATTCATTAAAATTAAAATGTTTATTTTGTAAAACTAGTTAAAATTAAAATACAAGTCATATACATACACAGGGAGAAAACACTTTCAATGTACTTATAGGATAAAAGACTTACATCTAGACATGTGTGATGGCACACACCTTTAACCATAGCACTCCGGAGGCAGAGGCAGGTGGACCTTGTTGAGTTTGAAGCTATCCTGGTCTGCATAGGGAGTTCCAGGCCAACCAGGGCTACAAAGAGAGGCCCTGTATGAAAAACAAATAAGAAACCCTTATATCCAAAATACAAGAAGCCCCCTAAAGCTTAACGATAAGAAAATGACTTAATATCCTCAACCTATATAGCCAGCAACAAAGTCTCAAAACATAAGATAAGACGCTGCTGAGATGGCCCAGCAGCTAAGAACACTTGCTGCTCTTGCAGAGAACCCAGGATCAGTTCCAGTAATTTCAGTTCTGGCCTCCCTGGGCAGCAGGCATGACGTCCACATAATGTACTACATATGTAAGTATGTAAGCAAGGCAACACTCTAGTGCACGTAACAATAAAGACAAAAACAAAACTGAAAGAGCTGAAAGGAAAAATACACAAAATTACAATTGTAAACGAGAATTCCAACAATGTCATAAAACCCCACAAAACAACTAGATGGAAAATAACCACTGGAAATAGATGTGAACATAAACAGGATCCAAGTGATGAGTACTGAATGATACTCAAGAAAACAGAACACATTTTTCAGAGACTCATAAAACATGAATCAAGATAGACCGTATCTCTATCTCCAGCTATAGGTCTCAGCAATTCCAAAAGGCTCAGAATCAGTATGTTTTGTTAAACACCATGGAGTGCAAACTAGAATTCATTAACACAAACCCAGAGAAATATCCTGGGCTAGTGAGAGTACAAATGTTCTCTTGAAACTAGAAACATTCCAAAACTGCTCTTAACTTAGCTAAAACATATATCTGCATCAAAATTCTTATAATTTATTTTTTCATTGCAATGATAGCAAGTGAAAAATACCATGAACGTAAATTGAATCTTAAAAGCATAATTAACAAGCCAACTCTTTGGATACTACATATTAAACTGAGACTACTGCATTTATAACAATTGAAATAAGCCAGGCAGTGGTAGCGCACGCCTTTAATCCCAGCACTTGGGAGGCAGAGGCAGGCAGATTTCTGAGTTCGAGGCCAGCCTGGTCTACAGAATGAGTTCCAGGACAGCCAGGACTACACAGAGAAACCCTGTCTTAAAAAAGACCAAAAAAAAACAAAAAAAAAAAAACAAAAACAAAGCAAAAACCCAAACAAGTGAAATAAATTGAGCACTTTACCTTCTAATGGACTTCCTAAAAGACTGGCATGTTTTGTTTTCACATGAATTTCCATATCTTGACTACACCCCTCAATTTTTCCACAAAATGGACATTCAGGAGGACTGTATGTTGTTTCATAAATTGATCCTTGGGCCTCAGATAATCCAGACTGCTTTTCTCTGCTCTTCTGGTACTTTGTAGATTCAGTTATGTTCTCTGTATAAAAAGCTTCGTGTTTTAAAGTCCTATCTTTAGGAAGGCTTTCAGATGACTCTCTTGGAAAGTTAGATGCACAAGCTGAATGAACGCCTGAAGAAACTTCCACTGGACTCTGCAGGTTGGTGTTCTTGCAGTCTGAATTTTCATATTGCACTGCAGCTAGATTCTTAAAGTTTTTTTCGGGTGTATGTTGTTCAAAATGAGCAGTTTCAATATGAAAACACATTTCGTTGTAATTTATACCTGACAACTTGCAAAATGGACAGATAATTTCATTTTCCATGTGAACAATTAGGTGAGCTTTCATGTCTGGTTCTGAGGTTACAGTTTCACCACATATGTCACAGGAAAGCATGGTGGGGCATGGACCTAGAACAGTAGTAAAACAAAATTGTAAGTCAGAGTTGAAGAAAACCACATTTCATAAAATGATTTGGGACTCTTCTGTGGAGTATTTAGAGCTAATAAGCTTTGGCAAAGAAATAGTCAATGTACTTATCATTCCTTAAATATACACACTTATTTATAAGTTCTAAGAAAGCCTAACTACAGGTTAAGCATTCCTGATCCAAAAGTTTAAACTCTATATACTCCAAAATCCAAAACTTCTGAGCTGACATGTCACAAGTGGATCTATGCCTGATCTTATGTAATGGAAGACAGTCAAAACGCTGGCACACTGAAAATATGAACACACATGGATATATATATATATATATATATATATATATATATATATATATTATACATGACACAAGCAAACTTCATATTTAGCATTGTATTCCTAAATATTCTAGATAGAGGATATTGAACCTGTGCCTGAATGTCAAGATATCAGAGGTAAAAAAAAATTTATTAGTAAAACATTTCAACAAGGCACGATGATACACCCTTTTAATCTCAGCACTCCTGAGGCAGATGCCAGGTGGAGCTGTTAGTTGCTGGCCAGCCTGATCTACATAGCTGAGTTTCAAACCATTCACGGCTGCATAATAAGTCTCCATCTCAAAAACAGTAATACAAGGTATTTCATCCAAGGGGTAGAAAAAAAAGTATATTTAAAAAGTTGTCCATGTAAGATAAAGTAAAACAGAAGTCTACTGTTGATCAACATATTTACTTCCATGTAGTATGAGGAGGGTAAATGAACCTTAGTTCACTTCAGGGCTTTATATGTGTCAAACTTAATACCACTGCTCTGGGTTTACATACATGGAAAACCCTGGATCAGACAGGTCACTACAGCCAGATAATGATGGAAGGTAAACACCACAGAGTTCAAAAGTTAAAAGCTGAGTGCTGTAGGAAAACAGCACTTACTGCCAGAGTCTAAGAACCTGGGTTATAGACACTGGTTTCATTATGTTACCTGACAGCTCATCCCATTAAAGTTCACTATCAAACGAGTTATGAGACAGTAGATTTGATGAGCTAATGGGATATAGACTACTTACAGGGAGGTGCTAAAACAAAACAAAACCTTTTAAAGCAATTACAAAGTCTTCCCCTAGACTACCACCCGCTGTCACGTATTTTAGTAATAAAAAAGAAAAAGGAAGACAACTATTCCCTTCATCTAAATTCAGCTTTACAAAATCTACATTTTCCTTTTTCTCGTTTCTCTTCAAGCAAGTAAAAATAAGTTTCTGTTTCTAGAAGGAAGTTTCTTGATAACCAGTTTCGTCTCTTCCAAGGACTGGGGCACTGCAGAAAAAGGATACACTGCAAATGAGGGGGGACCTTCGAAGGGCTAGCCTGGGTACGGGATGGCGAAGGCGGTAAGGCCCAAATCTGACAAAGTACTGCGCCAACGTCGCACCGGTGGGGCGCAGAGAACCAGACCTGCCGCCACCCGGAGCCGGCCCGAAGACCCGGACCCACGGCTAGACCGCCGCTCCTCCCCACTGCGAGAGCCAGCCACTGCCCGCAAGCGCGCCCCACACAGCCCGCTCGATCGCCACGGGCCAGGCCTCCCGAGACTCTACCCCGCTGCGAAGAGAACCCCGGCCTCCGAGAGCCCTCCGCAGTACCGCAGTCACAACAGCCCTTCCTCACTGGCCCGGGTGGGGCGAGATCCCAGCATGCCCCGCTGCAGATCCGTCTGAGTTGAGATGCATTCTGGGATTTGTGAGGGAGTTTTGCAACTTTCGCTAGCGAGTCCGAGCATCACCGCCCCTCCCATGCTCCAGTCGCAGTTTCCACTCCAGATTCGCTAAAACTGTAACTCTGAGTACATTTCTACGTCCAATCCTGCCTCAAACAGGTGTTCCTGTTTACTCAGTGTCTGTGCTCTAAATCAAGTACTGCAGGTTAATTAAGCCAAGTTCCTTTGTCAATGTTACAAAATTGCTTATCCTGTGTTAACAGTCTGTGTTTCTCCCTCTCTGGGGGATTGATCTATGAGGCAGCTACTGAAGTATTGAAATATGAGGATGACAATCTGACAAGTATAATATTTTGAAATGATGGGGTATCGTTGAACGTGGTACATGGAGCAAATATATTTTTTTGCTTCTCATTCTACTAAAGGAAAGTAAAAATACAAAATTATAAGTCATTGTGAGAGTGAAGATATTCTTACAGAACATTTCAAGCTAGAAAATGAGCACATTAGTAGTCACCCATTAGCTACGAAGCCAACAACAACAAAGTCGTTTCTCCAAAGGTATAAAAAGTCTGTATTCTCCAGAAAACAGAACTTTGTGGAATGTCTAAACAAGGGGTAACTAAAACTCAGCTTCCAGATTTCCTTCATCACCAGCTTCCCCCGTGACTTAACTTTCCCCCCCCCCCCCCCCAAGACAGGATTAGTTAATGAAGAAAGCTGAAGTGGCCATTTTCTGTAACCAGGTGTGATGTCCTGTTCCCAGGAACCTCAGAAGACATCTTATAATATACAAAGAGAGTTTTTATCATGGGAGCCCGGACCTGGTTTGCTGTAATTCCTGCTGCGCAGGTTAGGAGAGTGACCCCTAAGTCTAGGGGTTTGAGGTATATATAGGATGCATAAACTGGGGCTCTCAACCCCTGGCGTTACATGATTGGGTAGGGGAAAAGGAATGCCATCCTACAAACCTGATAGCATTTGTTCAGACTGGAAGGCGGAATTGCGCAGCTGGAAAAAGACCTTTTTGACCCGAAAAGAAATAACTTATTCAGCTATCAGAGACTAGCGTGTTTTTATAACTCGGTCACAGCTGCTTGAGAAGACTTAATTGCTCAAGAGTGGGCTTTATCACTTCAAGGATACTAACTCCTGCCTCCTTCAAAGGTCGGAGCCGTCTGCGCTGGGAGAGTGCTGTAACGAAAGAAGGATCACAATATTCGGGCGCCAGATTGGGCTCTCTTTTGTCTATCCTTTTCAAAGGCATCTATGTTGGGGAAAAGGGGTCAGAGGATAGTAACTGCTCTGGCTCCGCGCAGGGACAGGAGAGTGCAGATTTGATGCGCAGAGATTGTTGCAGGTTTCCGGTGGAGGACAGGAACACCAATCCAGCTTCAAAACCTGCTACCTACAACCTGCGTGTAAAACGTGCTGCAGCAAAAGTGACACAGAATTTAAGGGAGTGGGCAACCAATGACTGGTCTAATTTCAGGTCTAGGCCACGAGAGGGAGCACATTCCCGAAACTGCCTGGATGACCAAGAAACACATGCTGGATAGCCCATGGACGTATGATAGATTAAAAAAATAATAATAATAAATAAAAATAAAAAACTACTAATGATATTCTGCTATACTCATAGGTCGGTGCCTAGCCCAATCATCATCTGAGAGGCGTCCTCTGACAGCTGATGGGAGCAGATGCAGAGACCTACAGCCAAACATTAGGCTGAAAAAGAGCCCAAATTGGAGATCTCTATCTGGTCCCTCCCCTTGGAGCTTGGGGAAGTCCTTGGAAGAGGTGGGAAGAAGAATTGTAGAAACCAGAGAGGCTGAAGATGCCAAGTGAACATGGGCCTCAGAATCAACTAAGCTAGGCTCATAGGAGCTCACAGAGACTGGAGAGGCAATCACTGAGCCTACATGGATCTGTGCTAGGTCCTCTACATGTATGTTATGGTTGTTAGCTTGGTGTTTTTGTGGCACTTCTAACAGTGGGAAAATAGCTAAAACTCCCCCCTCCAGATTTGCTCCATTGCCAGTATACCATATGACTCATCTTTCTCTCCAATACAGGATTAGTGAGGAAAATGACCTATAGACACAAGGAACTCAGCCACGAATGGGCAAGGTTGGTGTCAAGGTGTTGGAGTGAAAATAGGAAGTAGAAAAAGGCAAATATTTAACTAAAAATAATCAAAAGCTTTGAGTTTGAGGTTCAAGGAGGACTCTGAGCCCGGTGGGATACGAATTATATTGGGTTATTAAGGCTACAGACAGGCAGCAGCAGCACAGATTCTCTGAGTAAAGTGCAGGTCTTTGGACCCAAACAGGAGTCCCTTACAGGTTTCAAGGAAAGGGTGGTTGGTAGGAGAGTTTTTAAACTTTCTCTTGGCCCATGGCTGGCCATTTCTAGGGTAATAAGAGAGTGGTGAGATGTTTTATTAGGGTTTCAACTGCTGTGGGAGGAAAAAAACACAAACAAAAGCAATTTGGGGAAAAATGTTATTTCAGCTTATGACTCTTAGGTCACATTCTATCACTGATAGAAGTCAGAGGCAGGATCAGAAGCAGAAACCATGGAGACTTGCTTATGGCTCCTTGTGGGTTGCTCAGTTTGCTTTCTTGTATGACTAAAGACCACCTGCCCAAGGTTGGCACCACCCACAATAGACTGGGACCCACCTGACACTCTTTAATTGTTTTGTTTTTGTTTTTGTTTTTGTTTTTTTTTTTTTTTTGGTTTTTTGAGACAGGGTTTCTCTGTGTAGTTCTGGCTGTCCTGGAACTCACCCTGTAGACCAGGTTGTCCTCGAACTCAGAAATCCGCCTGTCTCTGCCTCCCAAGTGCTGGGATTAAAGGCATGTGCCACCACTGCCCGGCCACTCTTTAATTGTTAATCGAGAAAATGCTCAGTGCCTCACAGGCTTGCCGCTTGCCCACAGACTGTCTGATGAGGGCATTTTTTTCTTTCTTTTTTTTCTTTTCATATTAAAATTATTGAAAGGATTGCTTTTATTTTTATTAATTATTTTATTCATTTATATTTCAAATGATATCCCCCTTCTCGTTTACCCCTCTACAAACCCCCATCCCATTCCCTCTTACCTCTTCCCCTTTGCCTCTATGAGGGTGCTCCTCCACCTGTTCACCCACTCCAGCCTCACTGCTGGGGCATCAAGCCTCTCTCCCCTCCCACTGATGTCAGATAAGGCCATCCTCTGTTACATATGTATCTGGAGTCCTGATTTCCACTATGTATATTTTTTGGTTAATAGTTTAGTCCCTGGGAGGTCTGGGTAGTCCAGTTCGTTAATATTGTTCCTCTTATGGGATTACAATCTCCTCCAGCTCCCTCAGTCCTTTGCCTAGCTCTTCCAATGAGGTCCCCAGGCTCAATCCAATGGTTAGCTGTGAGCATCTGCATCTGTATTGATCAGGTGCTGGTAGAAGCATTCAGGGAACAGCCATATCAGGCTACTGTCAGCAACTGTATCTTGGCATCAGCAATGATATGGGAGTTTGGTATCTGCAGATGGGATCGACCCCTTGGTGCGGCAGTCTGTGGATGACCTTTCCGTTGTCTCTGTCCCATTTTTTGTCTCTGTCTTTCCTTTGGACACGAATATTTTTGGGTTAAAAATTTTGAAATTCTGCCGGGCGGTGGTGGCGCACGCCTTTAATCCCAGCACTTGGGAGGCAGAGGCAGGCGGATTTCTGAGTTCGAGAGTTCGAGGCTAGCCTGGTCTTCAGAGTGAGTTCCAGGACAGCCAGGGCTACTCAGAGAAACCCTGTCTCGAAAAACCAAAAAAAAAAAAAAAATTTTGAAATTCGTGGGGAAGGTGGCACCGTCCCTCAAGTGGGAACTCTGCCTATCTACTGGAGGTGGTCTCTACAGGCTGTCTCTCCTCTTTGTTGGGTATTTTGGATAAAGTCATCTACATTGGCTCTTGGGAGCCTCTGCTACCCTGGGGTCTGAGAATTTCTAGTGGCTACCCCCAGTTCTCCATCCTCCTCTGCTACATGTTTCTATTCATTTTTCTGACCCTCTGTACATCTCTCCTGTCCCTTCCAATACCTGTTCCTGTCCCCCCTTTCCCCCTTCCCCTCCTCGCTCCCCCTGAGGTCCCTCCCTCCCTCCATCTACCTTCTGTGATTATGTTGTTCTCCATTCTATGTAGGATTAAAGCATCTACACTTTGTTCTTCCTTCTTCTTAAGCTTCATATAGTCTGTGAGTTGTATCATGGGTATTCCGAACTTTTGGGATAAAATGCACTTATCAGTGAGTGGATACTATGTGTGTTCTTTTGTGTCTGGGTTACCTCACTCAGGATGATATTTTCTAGTTCCATCCATTTGCCTGCAAATCTCATGAAGTCATTGTTTTTAATAGCTGAGTAGTACTCCATTGTGTAAATGTACCACAATTTCTGTATCCATTCTTCTTTTGAGGGACATCTGGGTTGTTCCCAGCTTCTGGTTATTATAAACAAAGGGGAGCATCTTTTGGGAATGTGCCCAGTTTTGGTATAGCTGGGTCTTCAGAAAGAACCATTTCCAATTTTCTGAGGAACTATCAGATTGATTTCCAAAGTGGTTTTACCAGCTTACAGTTCCACCAGCAATGGAAGAGTGTTCCTCTTTCTCCACATCCTCACCAGCATCTGTTTTCACCTCTGTTTTTGATCTTAGCCATTCTGAATAGTGTGTGATGATGGAATCTCAGGATCATTTTGATTTGCATTTCCCTGATGACTAAAGACATTGAACATTCCTTTAAGTGCTTCTCAGCCATTCAAGATTCCTCAGTTGAGAATTCTTTGTTTAGCTCTGTACCCCATTTTTAATAGGGTCATTTGGTTCTCTGGAGTCTAACTTCTTGAGTTCTTTGTATATTTTGAATGTTAGCCCTCTACCAAACATAGGGTTGGTAAAGATATTTTCCAAATTTGTCGGTTGCTGTTTTGT